TGATGTATATAAAAATAAAATATTTTACATTCTGAACATTCAACTTTGGCGGCGTGCCAGAGCTTTAAAAACAATGTTTTTTACAAATGTTTGACGTGTCATGTTTATATGGTACAGGTAGGAAGCCGCATGCAATTTTACACAAAGTTTTATGTTTTTTTTTTATGCTTGGATTAATATTTTAGAGTAACATGATAAGACTTGTTTTGAAATGGGTACATTTTTTTTTCAAATTGTGCCTATTGTTCTGCCATAAGCAGAAATATATAAGACCATTCAAGATTACTTTTAAGGTTTTTGGAAGCTTTTTTTTTGTTTATGCATGATATACATACTTTTTTAGGTTTATACCTATGTATGTCTTATTATGTCTTAAACGTTATCAAACCACTTTGAGATAGCTATCTATCTACAAATTTTGCACCCCAAGAATCAAAGGTTTATCACTAGAGGTCTCACCTAATATTGCATCTAAGTTACATGAGAATCAAACAATTACCGCTTTAAAACGGCTCATTAGAAATATTCACCACATTTCACTAGCAGCTTTCGTTAGCGGTCACAATTTGTACCAACAATGTAATTTGTGCATTCGATGATCCATTAAATTAGAATAGTAAAATAACGAGCATGGGTAATTTGTACCGGTAACGGTTATGGCGGGGTGCCAGCCGCTGTTAGGCTATGTATGTTCGAAGATAAATTATGATGCAAGGAAGAAAATTGCTTTCTAATATACAACCCTTATAATAATTATTATTGTTACATAATATAATCACTGGTGACTTACCACAGACTTCTGTGTAAGATCGTGGTCTATGTGTTGACTAAATTTCATCCAAATCTATCCAGAAGTTTCAAGAAGGAGTAAAACAAATATACAGTATGTGTTCAGCACTTTTTTTTTAACCTTCCGCTGGGCACGGGCCACCCTTTCAATACGAGGGGATCAGGCCATAGTCCACCATGATTTTGAATGAGTTTGAATGACATAGTTCAACAAAATAGATCAAATTAAAATAGATAGTTACATAGATATAGGTATATAAATATATGTAAAATGTATACAATAGTTGCTCACTGTTATTTAAATAATACAATGTAAAAACATCCGTGTGAACTACGTATAAAGTGACTGACGGTATTACGTGCTTTTTGTATTTCTCATATTTCAAACACAGTAGTTCGTTTTTGTTTTGTTTGAAACCTTTGTTTCAATTTTATCCTTTTCCTAGATATAGTCTTTATTTAGTTTATTATTTTCATTTTAGCTTCATTATTATTTTGCAAATACTGATGGTGCAATCTAAACTAAACTTCGTTTATTGATAAATGCGTGACATTGTATTTGAATACACGTGTGATACAAGACTGCAGAGTGTTTGGACCTTATAGGAGAATATTTACGGCCTATGAGTCCCTATCGTCATCTTAGATGCCATAAAATTGAATCGAGTTCAAAACTCAAATTCAGATTGTAATCTTTCCATGTCAGCCCTAAAAGCTGTTTCAAATCATCAAAGTTTTACTGATTAAGTAGGTTTTATTGCTAGAAGATATTAATGAGAATTGTTAAAACTTTTTATATGCATTGTACTTATACGTTTTTGCTACAATATTATCCATTTTACTACAGCATAGAATCACTATAATGTTATACGTGGCAGCTAAGTCATCGCAAGAATTAATTTGAACTTCCCTAATGTCATCCAAACTTCAAGGTTGACTTTGATCGATGACTTATATTGATAAGAGCAAACCACCCCATATTAGAAACTTGAATAATTAATATAAAATATTAATACATATTATAAGTTACAAATGAACATTACTCAGTATAGGTATATTCATGTCTTTCTACTACTTTTTTAAATAGCGCCTTAGAAACTCATTGATGGTATCGCCACAAAATTTCCCAGTTTCAGACTGTAATCGTAGAAAATAATCTGAACACTGGCAACATTAAATTCTCCTTACACGCTATCTTGATCTCGATCAAACACGAGTGCCCATAAACCCGCCCACGTCGTGTCGCCAAGCAGTCTGAAGGCAAACTTCTTAAACATTTCCAATAAGGAAATCTATCAGTTGCATATTTATCGCAAAACCATGCAAATTATACCCGTATATCATCCGCTTCTGGTGAAAGAAACCGGTGATATTTATGAAGTACACAGATTTTATCACTTTATGTAATATCAAATATTTGTAGGAAAATATATTATTTATTTTTGATTATAATGAATACTAGTTTTATATAGACAAAATAGTAGATAAAATACCATCCATTTTTGTCGTATAACTTTGCATTTTTAATTTTAAAAAGTTTTTACAAGAAATTCTTTACAAAATGGAAGTGACAATAAAATTTTAATAATAAACAGGAAAATGTTTTGTGATATTGAATTTAAAATGTTTGTGAAACTCACTTTTAGGGTAAGCAAAATTTGGAGCTCTTCTAAAAGCAATCCAATTGTTACTTATACTCAACTTTGTTAAGCCTACAAGTTTTAAGAGGTGAAGTTAACTTTGCAAATCTTGTCAAAAGCAATTCCAAGTCGTGTAATTACGATCTTGGTACTGATATAAATTGTTGACTCTCATATTTAACTATATTCGAAGTGAGCACATTACCCCAATAATTTCCTCTAACGAGAACATAATGTCTATATAATGTTGTAGTTCTATAGCAAGTGATTAATTTATTACTCAAAAAGGAACATTCTGAGAAATTGAAGGAGAGTTAATGTTTTTTTTAGTATTAGTATAAAATACAAATTTACGTTGTTAGGTTAGGACATTGTCATAACCCCCCCAATGTGCGTTCACCTTGTCGTGGTGGGGGGGCTCAGTAGTGCCCGGCAATCCAACCGGGCGCGAAGCTAAGAAACGCACAGGGAGGTTGCCCACTTCGGTGGGCGGTGGGAGGTGGCCCTCTTTGGGGGGCGGTGTACCATGCGGGTTGCTCCTGGTACTTCTCTGATAGCAGAGTGGACCGTGGAGCAACCCCATGGTTGTGGTGGTCTGCTTCGGCAGACCTGCCGTCGGTGCGTCGTAGTTGAATGCGTAAGCGATCCTGCGACGCCCCATTAAGACGGGGAAAGTTTTGTTGGGTTTTAGTGGGTAGTACTGGCTGTATTACGCCGGTGAGTCCCACACGTCGTGCGTAAATGCATTTCCCAACGTTAAAAAAAAAAGGAGATTGTCATAAAATAAAGTTACCTAGTTTATTTATTACGTTCATCAATAAAAACTGATACCTTGTGTTTTTCTATGGATTTTAACTCACGGGTGATAACGACTATCCTGTATAATGCTGTGATTTCCGTGCCAATAATGCAGCCATTTTGAAAGATAATTAAAGCAATTTACATCTACACATATGACATTGTATTAAATTGCGGGCGGTCGTAAACATGGAATTTGATGGCTAATTATCAAAGCCTAAAATCTAAATTTAACGTGAATAACAGAATAATTAAAAAAGCCTGTTGGGAAGATTACTATGTACTTTTTTGTATTTTGTGTATAGATGGTAACATAATTATACTATAATATATACTGTTTGTTAAATTGGTCACCTACTAGCTTTCATTTGATATTCACGTTTTAAAATAATTTTTATTTTACTTTCTAAAAACATTACCCTCCTTTATAGGCAGTCGGGTATAATATATATTTTAAGTGGTGTGTTACATTTGTGTATAATATATGGGAGTCATTGGACAATAAACAGGCATATGTAGTCGAACAATCTGGTTCACGCTTCAGTAGATTTCGCGGCTCGATCGAATATTGGTATCGGACGACCGCGGCGCGGTCTTTGATACGAGCCGGATTTATGTGCAGATAGCTGTAAACGGAACATACACGTATTATATTCCCTCTATTGTACCCATTTGTATTACTTGTACCTAATCTTGGCCCGTAAACATACCTATATTATACGGCATTGTTTTGTTCAGAAGTTATGCCTGGCTTGCAGTGTTCGAGAGCAGCCACAGTGATGTGCTCTCGATGAGTGCATTAATAAATTTCCATGTGGTCCTTTTGTTAGCGTTTACTTCGTCGGTAATAAATATGCATCGTAAATCCAAATTATGTATTTTACGCTTACTACATGACCTATGTACATCGAACATAGAATTAGCTTTGTTCGATTTAATCGGTACATCCGTAATAATATTTAAATGCTTCCTTAAAGATATGAATTGTTTAGAGTTTTCATGATTAAGGTTTTTTCGTTGTAGGTGCAGATATTTGTAATTTACTTTTCCTTAAAGACGTGAGATTTAATACTTTCTTAGATTTATTTATATTTGGCATTTTAAATAAAACTATCTTTTCGGATTCTTTCGCGCATGTATTTTAACATTTTTCAGCGTATGACGCACCAAAACCCTTAAATCTATCTAATATATTTAAATGAGCAATTCTTGTATATATATCTATATAAACTGAATCTCGGAAACGGCTCCAAAGACTTTCATGAAATTTAGTATACAACGGGTTTCGGGGGCGATAAATCGATCGAGATTAGTTTTATGTCTGGGAAAACGCGTGCTTTCGAGTTTTCATGCGGTTTTGTTTCGCATTATTCCACGCAAAATATGGTCGCTAATTCGCACGCTAGGACATGAGCATCGTGGTCAAACGGCCAAAGTGCAAGTTTGACAACCACAGGTGCCTGGGTTCGTATCCCGGTCGGATACAAAGTTTTTACTTTTGTTTTTTTTTGTATTTATTCAAGTTTTTAGTTTTTTTTTAATGTTTTTTCGGCCAAAAACTCCGAGGGAAGCTGGATCGCCCAGGTACTTTTATTTAAAATACCGTAGATCATTTTCTAATGTTGTACCTACTATTAATATACTGGATAACAAATGTTCTGCCCACGTACTCGTACATACCTATACTGAAGTCATAAATATTAAAGTATTACTTCACTATGAGTCACATTTGCATTTGTCGATATTTTATGAGCGTTTTGCACTTGTCCTTAGATGCGGTCTTCACGCTGATTTCACAGAGCTGACTGCTTGTGTGGGCGGCGAGTTGGACCGACATGAAGGTTCCACTGTGCACAGACGATATTTCTACATTACTCTTCTTAGAGAACCTGTTGCAAGGTAAGTTACCACATAAAGGTACTACCACTAATTGCAAAAATATAACCCCTTTCAATAATTTTATTGCAAACACCTGTTTCTACGAGATATTTATATACAGACGGCGTATATGATAATGTTTTAATATGTTCATGTGCATTTGCATATTATACAAACACTTTTGCCGTTTAATTGAATTGCAATTTAAAGGTAAATGGTCTGGTATTTCCTGTTTGATCAGCTATGTTTCGTGAAGGCAAAGTCAATAGTAAACTAACATTAGTAAATTACCTACTATAGATCGAAAATACTGCTGCATCATGTAAATAAATGAAATAAAAGCATTTTAAATAAAACTATCTTTTCGGATTTTTTGGACGGTAGAGACGGTCTCTCCTGTTCCTATGGCCATGTTTGCTGTAAAGCATTTAAACTTCAGGAAAGAAAAACCAAAATGATTCCACGAAAAAACCAAAACAGATAGTTGTATTTAAAATTTCAAATATTCGTGTAAAAAGAAAGTACATATTATGAAATATAAACAATCAAATAATTAGGTCAATATATATACGTTATTCTTTATGATATTTTGGCTATATTTAGTAAATAAAATGAAAATAGCAAGCAAGTTTGGGAAGTGTCACAAATAAGTATATTATGTAGATTAATGAATCATAGTTCAAAAGATATCTATTTATATAAACTGAATGTTGACATGTCTAATATATGGACTTCAATTTCTAAATGTATCGGGAGTGCAAGTGCTAAACATTAGGATCTTTTTGATGTTTTAGTTTTAGCTTCTTAAAATAATAATAAATTATCTTTTCAAAAACGGTGTATTAGCTCGGCTAAAACGCAGAATACAAACAATTATAACCTATTCTACTTAGAAATAATGTGCTATCTATATATAGCTATTATTTTATATATAGTATTGATAGTTTCACTGATGTGAAAGAATTTTTTGAATCGAAATATTAGTCCCGCCCCATTATTTTAGATTGCCCTCTACTTATATACCTACAAAATGAAGTAAATATTTAAGTTAAATAAAAAATCTGCGTTTCTTGAACATTTTATAAAGATTCAAGAATACAATATTTCTATAATTCATTTATTTACTTATTCTTATAGTATCTGTATAGCAATAATATAAATAGATATGTATATAATATATATACAAAAAACATTTTTCCATAAACATGATTGAATCGAAAATATTTATTTACGTTATTTTGTAAATAAATACACAAACGTGGTTGGAAGCGATACATAAAAATATCGTAAAATGAAGGAACGACATTTTAGCTATCATACTATTTCACATGTAAGCTCATATAAGCCCAAATAAGTTATGAAAATCGCAAGGTCAAAGCGGAGTAATGCGGCCCCGACGGCGAAATTATGCACGACCTTAATACGCGTCTTACTTTATGGGCCAGTGTGGATTCTAGGATTCAAATCTGAATAGCAAGAATATATATTAATTTATTGTATCTAATTATTTTATTGAATAGAGATACTGGTGTAATTTTTTATGAATTATATGTATGTAAACTAGCGACACACTCTTCAGTTGGTCCCTATAACGTTTGAGGCTTAGTATGGAATAAATAGACTATGTATACATAGGTATTATGAGTTTTATACACATACAAACTTCCGAGATAAAAAGTGTCCTAAGTCCTTCCCAGGATCTCAAACTATCTCCATGCCAAATTTCATCTAAATCGGTTCAGCGGATTAAGTGTAAAAAGGTAACAGGCAGAAATACAGAGTTACTTTCGCATTTATAATATTAGTATTGATATTAAGGAATAGACCTATCTACTTAGTAGTCACATTGTTTCATAATTATTACTACCGCTTAATTTATTCTATTTATGTATATGGAGTAGCCAAATAAAATGTAGCGATTTTATACTTAAAATTAAATTAACTTTAGGTATGCTTCAGAGTTAGTAAAACGTGCGAAATAGTTAAGTTCCCTAATAAGTTATCACGAGGGAAACCCAAAATACTTATTAGTAATAAATAATTATTACAATGCTTAAATAATAAATATAGACAGTTAGTAGATTATAAATAATTTGTTAGGGACTTGTAGGTTGGTTATATTTACACTAGCGACTCACCCTCGCTACGCTCGGGTTCGTCCCTAGCTTGATTTCCCATACAAACTTTCATCCCCTTAAGGGATGATTTCCGTTATAAAATGTGTAAAATCTTATGTCCTTCCCAGGGTCTCAAACTATCTTCTTACGAATTTTCATCTAAATCGGTTCAATAGATCCAAAAATTACCCCCTACAACCTCACAAACTCACAAACCCACAAACTCACAAACTTTACCTCTTTATAATATTAGTATATTATTTCAATCCACTTTTTGTAGTATTTTAATATGTAAAAATACTTAACGCAAGACTTGTTTTAGATATTTATCAGAGTACCGACACGTGAAACGAGGAGCAACATGGAAGGGCTCGAGGCACTGGTGCCAAGGTCGCACTGCTACTGGTAAGCATCTACCCACCACAGATCATTTATAATTCAAAGAGAAAAAGCTTCACGTCTGTATTAAATTGCCAAAACGCTAGATATCGCTATGTCAAAGTTTATTATCTCTACCATCAGTAAATGTAGGTTCGTGAAATATATTTTCGCTAGCGAGAGCGTTAAGTATTTCTACGAAGAAATCATTAAAGCTAGCGTAGCATACAAACTTTCATCCCCTTTTTTTTTTAACGTTGGGAGATGCATTTACGCACTACGTGTGGGACTCACCGGCGTAATACAGCCAGTACTACCCACTAAAACCCAACAAAACCTTCCCCCGTCATAATGGAGCGTCGCAGGATCGCTTACGCATTCAACTACGACGCCCCGACGGCAGGTCTGCCAAAGCAGACCACCACAACCATGGGGTTGCTCCAAGGTCCACTCTGCTATCAGAGAAGTACCAGGAGCAACCCGCAAGGTACACCGCCCCCCGAAGAGGGCCACCTCCCACCGCCCACCGAAGTGGGCAACCTCCCTGTGCGTTTCTTAGCTTCGCTACTACTACTGAGCCCCCCCCACCACGACAAGGTGAACGCAGGTTGGGGGGGGGAAACTTTCATCCCCTATTTTACCCCTTTATAGGATGAACTAGCACTGCCCGCGGCTCCGCCCGCGTTCAGATGACCAAAAACCAAATTCTTAGGTTTTACATATTAGTATACTATTACAATGCAGTTTTTGTATTTTTTTTCAGAAATGAGATATTTTCCCGCGGTAAAAAATATCCTTTATGTTGATCCGGATAACCGGCTATCGTACGTATATGTAAAAAAATAGATTCCGACGAATTCAGAACGTCCTCCTTTTTGGAAATCGGTTAATAATATTTGTTTACAATATTGCAATACAATAATTACCTACTTATCCTACATGAGACCCAACTAAAAATTAGTCCCACACATTGGCATCTACAAACTATTCCGTGATGGTGAAATGAACTATACAGTATAACTAGCATTGCCCGCGGCTCCGTCCGCGTTCTGGTGACCAAAAACCAATTTCTTAGGTTTTACATATTAGTATACTCTTACAATGCAGTTTCTGTATGTTTTCTCAGAAATGAGATATTTTCCCGCGGTAAAAAGTATCCTATATGTTGACCCAGGTAACCAGCTATCATCACATTTTCTCGTGATGCGGTATCAGACAGACAGTCAAAAAATCTAAAAACTATAGATCCAGTCTCTGTATCGATAATAATGTCTTTTTCAATTAGATTTTCCTGATTCACGTCAAATGAGATCGCTTATGTAAATGAAGCTATTACAACATTCAATAGAAGAAATACAATCTATCAAACCTGACAAGGTTATATAGTTCAAAAATATGTTTTGTATAATATTATTAAATCCTGTAGTTGGCTCTTTTAACAATAATAAAATATTAGGATCAGTAAAAAGTATTAAATCTGCCAATATCGTATCAATTTCGGAGGCTTAGTGTATGAAAAAGTTATTTTTGGTTCAGTTCATTGTGAATTAGATCACAAAATCTATGCAAATAAATAAAGCGTTTGTTTGTAATGACAAAATAACAGATATTTACTAAATGCATATGAAAGTATATACTTTATTTTTATTTTTTTATGTGTCTGTCCGTTTGTTCCGGCTAATTTCTGAAACGGATCTGGATCTACTGAACCTATTTAGATGTTTGGTAAGAAGATAGTTTGAGACCCTGGGAAGAACATAGGATACTTTTTATCCCGGAAATCATTCCTTCAGGGAGTATAAGTTTGTTTTGGGAAGCAAGTTAGGGACGAACCCGAGCGAAGCGAGCGTGAGTTGTTAGTAGTTAGTAGTATTAAAAATAAAATTAGGGTTCCTTATAAAAAAAATTCAGACCCACGCACGACATTGTGAACAAAATCCACTTACCTTGTATACCGCTTAAAAAGTAGTAGGCGCCACAACTGATTAAGTACTCTAATTCCATCTGACTCTGTAAATTTAAATTATACTAGCATTGCCCGCGGCTCCGCCCGCGTTCAGATGAGCAAATACCAAATTCTTAGGTTTTACATATTAGTATACATTACAATGCAGTTGTTGTATTTTTTCTTAGAAATGAGATATATTCCCAGGGTAAAAAGTATACTATATGTTGCTTGTAGCTATCACCATACCAAATTTCATCAAAATAACTACAATGGTTTTTCTGTGATGCGGTAACAGACAGACAAAAATTCTAAAAACTATAGATTCGTCCTCTGTATCGATAATGTCTATTTCTATAAGATTTTCCAAAAAATATTTAATGTACAGATTCGGCTTAGTTACAATTTTATTATATGTATAGATTAAAACACTAACATTATATGTGTCGCTTTTTAAAATCTACCTATTATAGCTCTACTAATCCAAATGTTTGCGTGGAATATACAAGAAAATGAACAGATACCTACGAGTAATAAGCCAAAAGTTTAATCTGGTATGGCTTAAATAAACCATATACTCTCGTACGAGTAAAACGTGTTTACTTTTAAGAACACATTGATTGAAAATAGAGGATATCGTTAAAAAAGGAAATAAAATATATCTTTTTTTTAACATAAAATGGAGCTATCTGGGTAATAAAAATATCAATAATCAACATTAAATATAAACTGATGTATTGCCGCGACACATCTGTAAATCATTTGCCTAATTAAAAAATAAACAAACTCGACGGTTGAATGTATTTTGTATATATTATTATTTATCTATTCGCATTATTTATGTACATAATTATAATTAATATATTAATATTTCGCGGAAAAATTTAAATATTTAAATGTAAGCAGGCGAATATAAGTAGTACTAACAAGATTTTTGTATTCACTAGTATTTGTAATGATATTATCTGTGTCGAAAAAATTGTGCATGAGAGATCCGAAAAGACTAGAGATTCACCCGCAGGGGCGTCCCTAGGTACGTTTTATTTTTTTAAGTGGGACCCTAATTCTTTTTCTAAAATAAAAGTAGCCTAAGTTACTCCTTATAACATCAGCTATCTGCCAGTGAAAGTCCCGTTTAAATCAGTCCAACTGTTTCGCAGATTAGCCGGAACAAACAGACAGGCAGACAAAATTTTTAATAATTGTGTTTTTCTTATAAGTACCTGCCGTATATAATTTCATATACATTTAGTAAAAAGCTGTTATTTTGACATTACAAACAGACACTTCAATTTTATTTATCTGTATAGATAGATGATTAGATGATTTAATGATTAGACAGCTATCAAAGTTTCAATACTTTGTGAAACGAATACTTCTTTTTACTTTCAAATTACTCATAATGAAAACTTATAATATGTATCATGTCCACTGAAATAATTATTTTTTTGTTTTATATATAAATTTGTTAATGTGATGTAAACAAATTCATATAGGTTTAATTAATATTTTAACTATATTAAGAATAATAAATAGTCACCTTCGCATGTTTTTCTTTACAGAAAAAACATTAGATAACGTAGTGATTCCTCATCTTGATCCTTTTTCCGCCTTTCAGCCTTTTCAGTTAGTGTGGAGTAACAAACATACATACACACATACACAAACTTTCTCAATTATAAAATTATTCCTATTTTAAATAGCTGCGGAAGTGCCGCCATGTTACACGGGGGATTCATGGCGAGGTGTCACCCTTGAGGAGTTTGCAGCATGTCCCTGGAACTTAGCGAACAACAGACAGACCCGCATGCTGGCGGACTTAGCTCTCGTCGGATGCTACAACGGGACATTGCGACATCGCACCTCTGACACGGATAGGGTGCTACTCGCATCTGCTAAGCGTAACTTGGTGGCCTTGTCGTACTTTGGGCTTACGGAATTCCAAAAGGTAAGCATAATTAAGTAAGATAATTAATTCGCTTGTTACAGGTTACTTGGCTCTTTCATGGAACTCTGCCAAGTTAAAATTGTGTTTACTGATTTGGTAGTTTAATTCATTCTTTGTATTAAGATTATTTTAAGGCTTAGCAAAAAATCCATTCGTCACTGTCAAGTTATCGAGAATTTGAAACACATTTTAAACCTAATATACATAATCGATTATTTTGAATCGACAAATATACCTGCACACCTAAGGTTAAACATTATAGGTCATTAGCATTATTTTGTAATTTGTAATGCTTGGAATAGACAAAGAGTTATATTAGAAAATATATGTACATACAAATGTAAAGAAATGGTAAGTAAAGTAGTTCACTTTAAATATATTAAAAAAAATTAAACCTCTTCTAAATGTCAGTACAATATCCATTTAATGAGCAAACGACGCTTTAATATTAATATATTTATTATTCTTTAAAGAAGCGTCCACTTTTTATAACTTTATCTTTTCATAGTGAACAAGTATTCAAGGGAGATGAAGAAAAAAAGGAAGTGTAATTAGTATGCTATTGTCTGAAAGGCTAAGGCTTCATTTAATTTAAAGAATTGAAGGGTTATCCTCAAAGCTTTGTGGGAGCTCTTGTTTTTCACTCTTTATAGCGTTTAATTCAGTTTAGAGTTTTTCTAAGAAAGCTTTCTGCATTTTATTAGCTTGGAATAAGTATCTTATACTTTTTAACCGTCGACGCAAAACGACGAGGTGTTATAAGTGTGTGTGTCTGTCTGTGACATCGTAGCTCCCGAAAGGATGAACCGATTTTCATTTAATTTATTTTTTGTTTGAAAGGTGAATTAGTCGGGATTCTTAGCTATGTTTGATGAAAATCTGTCCAAGATGGTCGGGGTTGTTGTGTAAACCGCAACAGTGGACAGCGCAGCCCCACCATCGACAGCCACGGCAAGCGGCCATTACATGACGGAGCGCCCACTTCCATTTAATACCCGTGGCGGACAAGACGACCTTAAAATAATTAATTTCCCTTCCCTATTCTTTTGTAACGACTAACGACGATTGTACCAGCATTAAATATAATATTATACAGTCCACTCTTTATTTTAACGTCCACCTACAGGTTTTTTTTTAATTTTTAATTTTAGAATTATTAAACATTAAGCTGCTAAGCTTTTATAGACCCCAAAGTATAACATAAGACAGTATATTTATAAGAAATGAAAAGAATTTAATCAGTGTTTTAAAAAAAAGCTTAAGTTCAACCAATGGTAAATTATTTTGAAAGTCAGCTGCTGTAGACGTCCGCTCGAAACTGTAAAACACTTTCAGTTCTGTTTCATGCCTTAAAGAAAAAGGGTCGATTATAATAATTAGTTTTAATCGTTTTAATAAAATCGCCTCATGAATTGTATGTATTATAAAGTGAGTATCCCGGGAAATGATATAAAATACGACATACAAATGTCCCATTCAATATATTCCCGTCCAACGACCCTCGCAGTGATAAGTGTACCCATTATTTGCACTTAGTTCATTCATTGTTCGTATCTGCTTGTTCGTCGGCTATTTGCCATCGCACGAGCTCCATTGTTTCTATGAATATTTATTACGTATGTACCTATACGATAGTTCAGACATCAAAGTTATTAAAATATTATATAGATTTTTATTAAAAAAAAATTGAAAGTCATGAAGTTTATTATTAAATAAAGTATACATAACATTATGTATTCTTTACCCCGCCTTCACTTTGCTTCGGTAAAATTATAAATCTCTAATTTATTTCCCTATCCCCCTGACGCCCGTGTTGGAAACCCTTTTCATTTTCTTGGAATAAACAGCTTTATGTTCTTCTTATGTATTAGTGGGCAGTTGTGTGGGTAGATAACCAAGCTATTATAAAACCACAGATACACACTTCACTATATATAGGAATAAATATACCTACTAAGAGTGTTAGCATAATTTTTGTAAATTATAAAATAATTATTCCAATTATAAAATCAAACTTACGTTATTGTGGCGACCCAGATGCAAAGATTATTGTTATCTGATAAGATACATGATAACTGACTGACAGATGCATTAATATTTGCATTTAGTCATTAGTTATTATTGTAAACCACGTCAACCTAATATTTAATACTAGGTATACCTCAAAGCTCTAGTAAATATGGCCTATGTCCTTCTGACCGCGACAAATTCCCACTCCCATTAAAATAAATGAGTCCCTTACGGGGTACAAATAAACAGATAAAAATGTTTTGATGTTATTTGGAGGAAAGCATCGTGGCAATTGTAGTGAAACAACAAGATCCGTTGACAGACTGTTTATTTGACATCTCAATCAAATCACATTTTATTCTACATCTTTCCCTTTAATAATGAAAGTAACATGCAAATACAAATAATTATAACTAATAAATAATACTATTATAGACTCAAATTTAAGCAACATGCATTTATCTGCTAATTACTAATTATTACATTTTTTTTTAGAAACATCTTTTAATTCTATCCCTAGCTTTATTTGCAGCTATCCTGGTTTGTCGCGCTTCGTTATTTTTACTAAAGCTCAGCGGTGAACAGTTATCAGAATCACCGACTTGTAGTTGGGAAGAACAATGTGTAGCTAATTCAGCACTACCTGAACTGTCACAGTCCCTTACCATGACCTCATCGTCCGGGATCATCATTTCATTTTGTTAAAAAGTTTTTATGAGATTTCATGATTAATAAGTGAATGGTATTTCGCATTTCTGATGTGTAGATATAACAGATCGACAGTTTTTTTAATCAAAATCAGAGAAAATATTAAAAGAAAATCTCCCTTTTAATCGATGTTACGTGCATTTGGACAATCAATCTTGAACTAAAATGTGCGTGTACATGTAATATTAGTCCATTTCATTTCAGTTAAGGAAGTATTGAAATACCGGATGTGACACTTCCGAATTTGGCAAAAAATATTTCATATTTTTTTGTTTCATTAGGAAGAATAATCTTTTAGTAACCCTAAGTTTTACAAAAAAATGAAAAAAATAAAATGTCAATTGTATTGAAATATGTGAACTTGTAGTAAAATAATCTTTTAATTCATAACATCCGTGATAGTGAAGTAGAAGATGATCTTTGTATGTACATTATACATAGATATTTATTATAGATGTTCTATTTACACTCAGGAAGTTCGCAAACATTTGTAGATGGAGAACTCTCTCGGCTCTACCCTTTAGATAATTCTATTTTTATAATCGATATAATATGTATATTGTACATATATTTATATGGTTAATAGAAAAAATACGAGACCCGTTAAGTCTCAGATATGTACTTATATGGGTACTATTTTTTTTTTGTTAGCAATTGCAATAGTAGAATATCGTCTTATCAGAGCCTCCACGATAAGTTCGTGAAAATGAATATAAAATTGATGAACACACACATCCTCACATTAGTATTAGTAAGGATTTTTATTTTTTAATGTTATTTGTGTATTTGTCATCATATGTAACTATCCTATTATATTAAAATATGTTTATCATTATAAAAACAATGAAGAATTTTTAATATACATAATTAGGAAGCAGTGTATAAATAGATTTCTCAAAGCATGAGTACTTAAAGTAGATTTTGAGCGTCCCACACGAGAAACTTTAATATGCTCGTGGGAAGTTCTTTCTTAAATTCATTTGACTATGCTTTAACTGGCGGTATAAGTTTTAATAAACTTAAAGGCATTTTAGATGTTTAAATAATTAATTTAAATTTATTTGAAATTACATCTTATCTTTAAATCTTAATAGCTTTAGCTGCCCTGTTATATGGTGTTTATTAAGTTTGTAATACAGTAAAGGTTTTAACCCCTTTTGTTTTATTTTTTTAAATAAGCTTGGTATCGCAGTATAAAAATCCATTTAACAGGTAATCACCTTTGACCTTAACGGAAATCTCGCTAAATGAAAGGGTTGTCAAAAATGCCAATACTCATGGAAACAGTTTCAAAATTAGGTACTGTGGTGCCATCTCGTGGAAGGTTACAGTTATGCTCGTCAACCCTATAGCCGTTTCCCGAATGTCATATAAAAATGTGACAGTTGGGAGTGCTTTGCCACACGACTAATCTAGATGCCTTTGTTAGAAGGCTGTATGGATTAATAGACTACCATTATATTAAGACGACATTTTGTTCTGATAGATATCACAGTACGTGTTCGAGGAGACATTCAATCTTCGGTTCGCCGTGCCTTTCACGCAGCACAACGCAACAGTGTCGGGGGCAACTCTTGCCGCCCTGTCACCTGCTCAGATCGCGCACATACGACAACTCAACTCACTCGATTTGGAACTGTATGAATTCGCTAAAACTCTTATGTTTAAAAGGTTAGTATACAAACATATATGTAAATCTATGTATAATTTGTTCGGTCATATCGAGTTTAAATATTCCGTGTAACTATTCAGGTTTAGAGTTTACGGCGTTGTTTAACGTTGTAGTTATAACTAACTTTGCATTTTATGTACGTACGTACGTTACGTGTTGTAAAAAAGCTCAATGTTACTGAAGACCATTATTTGGTTTTTTGTAGCCATGGAAATTTTTATCTATTTATATTCTTACATATATACAAAAAGATTATATTTTTTGTGTGTATGTGGCTCGGAAAGTGTTAAAAATACCAAACATACTGAAGCATTCTTTAATTGAAAAAAATTAAAGCGCTTTTAATTGATATAAAAATAGAAGAAGTTCATGTAAAGTATCTTTGTAAAACTAAAATTAATTTTTATTTTTACCCATGAAATTATGTTGGAAAAGTAAAGATTAAGTGAATCGTGATGTATTCCCAACAACCCCCTGCTATACGAGTCGTATATTTTCCTCAACTTACACGACATGGTGCTTTACGAGCCCGATAACAATCTTGTGTTTAAAAGGTCAACATACAAAACTATTTTTTACAGAGTTAAAGTATTAAGTTAACGACATTAAATTCGTAGTTTTATGTTACACTAGCGACTCGCCCTCGCTTCGCTCGGGTTCGTCTTGGGTAGCTTCCCTATACAAAATTTCATCCCCATCTCCACCCCCTTACCTATTCAGTACAAGCAAACAAATTTATTTATAATATTGGTATAGATTATTACAATAAAAATTAGTCTTCTTTTTTCACTTCTGTTGTGTTGACAGAAAAAAGTACAAACAATAAGTTACAAAGGGTTTATATCAATACATATGTATATCTAACACTTGTACACAGGGCACCCTTCAATACAAAGGGTATCAGACTATAGTCCACGACGCTTACCAAGCACAGCGTTTGCTAACTTCACATGTATTTCGAAGACTTGCTAGGTTCTCTCAGACATGTAGCTTTTTTCACGATTTTTTCGTTCACTTGGTTTCTTAAGCGAGCGCAATCTAACACATGCGAGAATTGATTTTGCGGTCCTCGCTACAATGAACAATGCCAGTCAGATAGACTTCATTGCGGCTACATCGATCGTCAACAAAATAAAAAAAGAATTAATTCGTATACAAAGAAGCAAAGTGGTGTCATCCTGCCAACAATAATAAATCTGCTTTCTAACACTAAACTCCATTGTACGATTGCTATCTTTGTATAGAGTTAATACTTTAAACGATCTACTTTATTGGATACAGTATTATGTGATCTTTCTTCGAATTAAAAAACATATGGGAGCGTCTAGAACGGTGAGCTCAAATCGTATCTTGAGTTCTATTTGATATCATTGAAATAAAACGCCCTTGGCAATAGTCATAAATTCAAATTTGTATTGAAATATAACAAAAAAAAAACAAAAAAAAGTGTTTTTCTCATAAGTACCGTATATAATTTCATATGCATTTAATTAAACGCTGTTATTTTGACATTCAAACAGACACTTCAATTTCATTTATCTGTAGGTATAGATGTATAGACTATAATACCTAGACAGATATCTAGACAATATATTTAAAACAATATTTTTATGTGAAATGAAATAAATGTTTATCATATTTTTCAATTATTTTAATGAGTTCCTAATATTTCGGCACACGGTAGGTATATTGAAGACAATGCGGGTGGATGGTAGCATTTGTTTTCCCGCAGAAATATCTATTTTTGTGACCACGAATACCATAAACCAATATTTGCACACTAGCAACTCACTAGTGTGTTCATAAATATTATTAACTCGTGTCAATTTCAACAGATTCGAAGCGCTTAAGAATCGGGATAGTGACTTCGAGTTCCGATGGCGGCATCTCGGCGAGGTAGCCCCGCGAAGTGGCGTTACCGAGTTCGACTGGGATAGTAATTTAGAGGACGCTACCACAGAGAAATATAAAGGCAAGTAACCATAGACAAAATGATTATTTTCATTAAAAATGTGTATTACAAATTTAGATTATAACCTTTGTTATATAAATTAATTTTGTTTGGTAGGTAAATTTCTCGCCATTTATATTTAAATAAATTCTATATTTTACTAGCTGACCCGCCAAACGTTGTCTTGACCACAGTTCAATAATTTTGTTCATGATCTTTGAGTTTATACAAAAATCTTATAGAAAAAAAACCACTACAGTTTTTTTTTAAATTTTCCATTTCCTAAAAATCTTATGACTTGTAGTCATAACATTTTTAGGAAATCGATGGAATCGATCATTAAAAAAAATGAACTAAAATAAAAATTTACCAAATCAGTGTGGCCATTATCAAGTGATGCGCTTACAAACGAACAGCTTTTTATTTTTATTTGTATAGATATTTTATAAATTCTATTCCTTAAGCGTTAACACAAATTTAGTACAAAACAACACCTTTGTTGTATAAAACTGCGCCCTTGATGCCAATCAAACTATGCATCCGATACTTGTCGAAGTGTATTTTCTCTATTTCTATAAAGCTGTCCAATCGATCGTGGTCATATGTATCCGTATATACGTTAACTGGGTTTCAGCTGGCGCAATTTTGCTTGATGCTGTTATATAAATGAATATGTGATTAATTATTAGTTATTACTATTAAAATTTATATTAAAATCAGAATGTTGACACAAATAAATATAGATTTATATAAATTTAAATGGCGGCTTATTTATCTATTTTAAACTTATAAATTCACTTTACTTTTTAAAGTCCACAATGGCACATAATAATAGATTTTTGTACCAATATAAATTGTTCTCTGCTTCGCCTGTCGATAAATCCACCGCTCCTTATATACACATTGTAGAGGTTCAAACTGCACGTTTCGAAATCCACAAGCGTTGGAAAATGGCAGTAGAAAAATATATGGGAATATTTCTGTTCAACATTGAAAATTCTGTCTAGAAATGGATAGGGTAGTTCCGCGATGTCAACATCCCTCTCCAAACTATATCTATTGCCTCTCAAGACTGCGTTTAAAATATTCTCATATATTTTTCTTTAGAAATGTCGTCTCGTAAATTAAAGCTTAAAGTATGTGTTATATAACTTTATAACTAGACGCTTTGAACATTTTAAAGTGTTTAGAAGTTTTTTTATGTCTAGAAAACGTGTTATTCAATGTGTCAAATGTCAATGTTTTACAATTCGTACCTAAGAAATAAATACTGTTTTGAACAGATAGTTATATAACTCATATCCCATTATGTAAACTAACAAACTTCTATCATACTTGAGTGTTGTTCTCGATCCTATTGTAATGGTACTTTACTTGGTGTACAGGCAAATCCTTTAAGTCGAAGAAAGTTTGAGATGGTTGCGGTGAGTCAGAGTGCGGTAAATGGAACTATGATATTATTGGTGCATACTTATCTGTTAAGATAATATGTTAACCGTTTTTGTCTCGAAATTTTATTTTTAACAACTCTTTGTGGATTTAGGTTAAAAATAATGTATCTAATTATAATCGATTATGATACAACTAGATTGGTATCGTAATCGTTTCAGCAACTGAAATAGCATAATTTAATTTAAACTTACAATGAAATGGAGTATTATTTTGTTGTCTGTGCAACAATATAATACAATTTAGCTGTTACGATGCGTACAGAGTTGTTAAAGGTAAATAGGACGTTTGTCAAGTGCATAATACACTAGTCGGTCACAACGTCTGAGAACAAATACTCATAAACATGTTTAAGTTTTGTGACAAATACTGAATTAAAGCAATGGCAGCTTATTATATTGTTGTTTATTTTATATTAAATTCAATTGTGTATAAAAAGGTTGTATAAAGGGTATGTCTGTAACACACGCACGCTATAATTGGATAAGGGAGTACATAATATGACAATGTGTGACATTCTGCTGAGGGGGATATTGACACATGATATGTTAAGGGGTTACCAGTTGGAATTTATTAACTCTTATAGTTTCAATTAAATGAAGAGTTCAATTTTACAAACTATCTGTCTAATACATTAGACAGATAGTTTATAAAATTGAATGTAAAAAAACTTATGTCATCGAAATTGCTGAGATAAATATAACTCATTAAATAACATAAATTATACCATATTAATAAAAATACAATATGGCGGATTAATGGTAGATTTTATACAAATATGGCAACTAATTGTTACTGAAAACGGGTATTACAATATTGTAGAAATATCCATTTGTTTTAAATATTACTATTTTTACGGATTCTTTAAAGATCAATTTTTAGCAGAATGTGGGGCACACATACAAATAGCTTAACGTGTTTTACAGACAGTCCCTGTATATTTTAAGATGTCAGCTTATGTTATTACGACGGCACTCTACGTTTGATTGAGGGAAATGTTAATCAAATGTTAAACAAACCATTAATGTTAAGAAAAGAAGGCTATGTAAAGAAAAATATAATATAAGAGTCAAGTGTTTGACATCATATGATTGAATATTAAAACTTTTAACTTGCTTTTTAACTTTTTAAATTGCTTGCATATACATAAGCCTTTTTTTCCTTTGAGTTGTGTACAGATTGCAGCTAAGTTAGAAATAAATTATTTTCTTTGAGTGATCATTAGTTTGTGAATGTCTACAAAATGTGCTATAAATCCATCCCCTAATGTATCTGTTAGGTTATTTAGGTAGTTGTTGATTGAAAGGGTTAACATAATGATAGTTACAGGGTAGGTTATGTATGTAGAATGAACCCAACGAAATATGAACCTAGTGTATGTATACATAGAATGCACATTTGACTAGTGAGCAGTTTTTAATTAAAGGTGCAGCTATATATATGCAATATTACGTTGTACCTGCAGTTTGATCAGTTAAGTATTCATTTGGAATGGAAATTTATTTGACACTCGCGATCGCGAGCAATTAAGACGATTTTAAGAGTTTTCAATTATATTTTAAGAGATTTATTCGTCTTATATAAGTGCCAATCAGAAATTGTATTGTTTATTAGTCTTTAATAAGATTAAGACGGTAAAGCATAATTTCAAAAGTCTCTAGTACCATGTAACCTCTTTGTAGGTTAATCGAAAAATTCCAGGTTATGCAAACAAGCGACGTTTTGGAGAAGAAAAATATTCTTGACAATTTTGCCTAAATTTCTAAAGGTATTTCTAGACTAGAACGCTCAAAGAAGCACCAGGTGTTGTGAAAAGCCTAAATATCTCACGTGAATATGTCGTGAATATTTTAAAGGCGGAGCACATACGCGGTAATCTTGTACGAAGTACAACTGCGCGTTCCTAATATTTGCGTCATTCACTTAATATTATAAGAGGGCACTTGTTTGTTGTAACATCCATTTCCCGTAGTTTCATCTGCTTGGAATTTTGATAAATATTTTCAGTCAGATCACTTAGTTATTACGTTGGAGGCGAGTGTAAAATGGGGTCATGCTGTAGAACACCTAAATTTAATTTATTAAAGGTCTATTTTCGTTATTTTGTGATCTGTATATTTTTTGCATAAGTTTTGTGTTTGTGTTATTTTTATTATAATTAAATTTTCTTTTTCACATCCTTCATAATTGATACTATTTCTTCTAATGACAAACGAATATTTTAGTTTTTATTTATTGTGGATGAAGATGAATAAAAATAGATATCATTAAATATTTTATATCCTCCGAAATTTTTTGGTTGTTGACAAAATTAACTATCTACGGAGTGCGTCCTGTAAAACTTACGACTTTTACGTCATATAAAACTGTAACATAACTTTTGTCTCGAAATATTTTTAGATAAATTATTAGTCTGTAGATATTATATGCGATTTAAGATATATTAGACATAAAAATAAAAATTAGCACAGCCAACTTTTTAATACGGCAGTTGTCAAATTAACAACTGGCTCAGTCCCAGTTGTAAAAGGCTTTAATAAAAGTTTATGATTAAAAAAAATATTTTCATGTAGTTCGTTCGTCTTGTGGACTTTTAATTTTATATACGTGAATTTTTATTTGTTCACCAGCTTTTGTGTTCTACTAGATATCTACTCGAACAAGGGTTTTGTTTTTATTTTTTATTTTTTTAATTATTTACTGCTCACTAATCATAGGTATTATTGTATTTAAATCTGTCTGTTGTAATATTCCTGATATTAGTATAGTTTGTGTAAATATTTGTTTAATTAGCATAAGGTCTGAACGGTTGTAGCGATTTATTCGCTTGACATCCTTTAATTATAGATATACCTTGTATTTTCTAAGATTCGTTTCGTAAAGTTTGTTTTTATTAAAATAATGTTTTTCAGTGAATGTAACCAAAGAACAAATTCGCGTGCTATATGTAAATTGGATTTTTGTCGGAACAAATTTTTGTTATTAAATACATATAAGTATGAATAAAAAAGCAAAAATGACAGCCTTGCAAAATTATGTATATTGTGAGGCATTACGTATTTTGTATGGTTACGAAATGTGATTTAAATTGGCAGTATAATTTTATACGCAGCTACATTCATATGTGTTCGTTATACATAATTTTACTGTATTGGGTTAGATTGCGATCTCTATATCATATAACAAGGCAAAGTGGCCTTGTAGTATTTTTTATGCATTTCAATCGGTTTAAGTGTTTTAACTGATCCATAACTCGAAGTAATCCAACTAAAGATTACTTTGAAAACGGTTTACGGAATCCCCAAACACTGTTTTATCGTAGAATTTTTGACAAGTAATAAACATTAAGCTCCATCGAGTGAACGGATCGAGTCAAATATCCAAGTTTTACTCACAATGAATCCTTTAATCTTTATGGGATACGATTCTTTTATTGTTCTGATCATATAAGAGCTTGAGTATTTCAGTTTTATAGATGAATTGATTTTAAAGACATTCTCATGTTATTCGAAATTTCGCGCAAAACTTAAATGCGGTTGAGTGAAGTTTGTCTCTTGAAATTATACAGAGAATATCGTATGCTAACATTTTTATTATTAATCAATATATTATATATACTATATATAATATATTGAATGTTATACATTAGTAGTAATTAAAGGATATATATTTATGGTATACGTCCTCCATAGCCAACCGTTGTTCCGGTTCGCATTAACTTGTGGCTTATTTCACAAGCGTAATTGACACGGCCAGCGCGTCTAACAACCATATAAGGAAAATGTTATGTTATATATTTTTAATAAATCTTAAAAAGTATATTTCTATAAGTTCTTAATATTGTAAATTATTTTATAAAAAAATGAAGATAGTTTCAATATTGGAAAATATATATAGCTACTGTTGCAAGTTGTGAGAACGAACGTAGCAAGGTTGTTTTTCGCTCTTTGCTCTCTATAATATCGTTTTATTCTGAAAAAGCTCGATAATTTCTCAAATTATATTATTAATTCTTCTATACCTATATAAAAAATAACTTTTTTTGTATTGTACATATTTAGTACGTGTTAATAATTCGTATAAGCACATAAAATATATTTTTATGAATTGGAGAGTGTATCTAGTGAGCTCTAGTTAAAAAATAGATGGTTGTATAAGAAAAAATAATGTTTAGGCTTGGATTCGATAATCTATTCTAAAAATGACAATAGCACGTCAGTATTATAAGAAAATATGTGTATTTATGTCAGCACAAAAGTTATCTGTAGCTATCGGATTTAACACTTGCCGCCCACAGCGTGAGTCTTAACGTTGTGAAGGAGATTTAGATAGGACTAAATAACTTCATTTCTCAAATATTGTAAATTCACAGAAATCAGGCTTTATATTCTGCAATATAGTTGATGATAAAATTTATATAACACAATAATAACAATGATATACCTACACCTAACATAGACTTAGTCGGAGGCGACAACGAAAATATGTACCTAGTAGGTACATATTTTCGTTAATGAAATACATAGTTTTGTTAATGAATTCGATGTCTGCTGATAATATGAGAAATCCTTATTTTGTTAAAATTATTTCCTCTTTATAAAGAGTATCTGAGTGATTCTAAGTAGGTGCTAAATTTTATTTTGGATTTGAACTTACCTCATAAACTTTTAAGCCTCCGCGAACTGTGAGCCGCAGAGATTTCTATAACAACTTTGTCCGCTTAAGTTTCAAAGATTTCGTACATTTCTAATGTTTGAAGATGTACTTTTCACTATATTTTGAGAAGAATACTCCTTTAAGTACAATTTTATAATAATTTAAAAACACTTTATACTAGTTGTAATTTTTATTTCGTTTTTATGTTATATTCCTATATTGGTTATTTATATAAAGACATCTTTTTTATATTTTTGTTAAAACCTCGAATATAGTTTAAATAGCAGCGGAATTGTTTATACTTAA